AACACTGTACCACTTTTACACCTGTAAAAAGATTTTAAGCTTTCAGTTGGTTCTGCTAAATATATGAAGGGAAATGTCATAATATTAAAGTTTATGAACCATTTTTGTTACAGTTTTTCAAGATATAACTCATATTTGAGCAATACCTTCTATAAGTAAAATAATAATTACTGAAGCTATGAACTCATCGACACTCATATTTTGTTTTTCAGGTCAAGTAATGATGGTTTGAAAACAGATGTATTGCTTAAATTTCAGTTTCCTTCTAATAATCCAGGCACAATAAAAGAGCAAGTTGCTTATATTTTGGATCAGAAGACGAAATCAGATGAAAGCTTTTTAAAGATAGATACTTCGTTGCCATATTTGAGAGGCAAGAAATATTATTTTTCTCCCTTGTTACATTTTTGAGGGGTTCTGGTGGTGTAGTGGGTTAAGTATTGAGCTGCTAACCACAAGTTCAGCCGGATCTTGTCTAAAAGCAGAGAATGCCAGAGAGTTGTTTACTTGTGCTTTATTGACTATGCAGGGATCTGACTGTGTAGATCACAACCAACTATAAGCATAGGAATTAGATAACTCTTCATTGTGCTCATGTGGAACCTATAGATGGATCAAGAGGTAGTTCTTCCAACAGAACCATGGAATACTGCATGATTTAAAATCAAGAAAGGTGTGCATCTGGATTATGTCTTCTCACCATACTTATTCAATGTGTATGCTAAGCAAATAATCAGAAAAGATGAGTTATGTGAATAAGAATAATGTGGTATCAGGATTTGAGAAAGGCTTATTAAAATCTTGCAATATGCAGATGACAAAGTTTTGCTTGTTGACAATGAGAAGGACTTGAATCACTTGCTGAGGAAGATCAATGATTGTAGCCTTCATTATGGATTACAATTCAATGTAAAAAAGACCAAATTCTCAAACCTGGACCACATGATAAATGGAGAAAAGATGGAAGTAGTCAAGGAATTTGTCTTGCTTGTACCTGCAATCAATGTTCATGGAAGCTCCAGTCAAGAGATCAAAATCCACACTGCATTGGGTAAATCTGCTACACAAAACCTCTTTAGAGTGTCGAAAATCTGGGAGTTTCCTTTGAGGACAAACGTTTACCTAACCCAAGCTATAGGATTTTCAATCTCTTTATCTGTATGTGAAAGTTGGGCATTGATTAAAGAAGATTGAAAAAGAATTGAGACATTTGAGTTATGATTCTGGTGAAAAATATTGAAAGCACCATGGACTGACAAATGGACAAGCAGATCTGTCTTGGAACAAGGATAGCCAGCAAAGGAAGGACGGTGTGTTGTTAGGAGAGACCTATTCATGGAGAAGGACACTATGTTTGAAAGTGCAATGGCAGAGCAAAATTGGAAGACCCTCGATGAGATGGATTGACACGGGGCCTGCCACACTGGGTTCAAGCACAGAAAGTACTGTGAACGTGGAGTAGGAGCGGACAGTATTTTGTTCCGTTGTGCACAGGGTCACTGTGGGCTGGAACTGATTCCCCAGCACCTAAGAACAATGATCAGAGTGTAGGATGGATCTTCATCCTGTAATGTTGTTAACCGCTGTAGAGTTGTCACCTGCTCACAACAGTCTTAGTTATAACACTAAAACATTGCCCTGTCCCGTACCAGCAATGTGATCATTAGTATGCTTGAGTCCAGCGTTACAATTTATATATTTATTAATTTAATTCCAGAAAACACTAATTTTTCCTTGCTTTACCAAACATTACATTCTTTCCTGTCAATTTGCCCTGATCTGAAGCCAGAATGTAGAAAGGCAATTGACATAAGAAGCACAATCTACAGGACACAGATATGATTTTGGTACAAGCAGGCATTTTCCACTATTTACTATGAGGAATTGACAGGATTCTAAGTGAAGTATTTGAACAGCTGATGAAGCACTAAGCCACTCACCCTTCTCTGCCTAGAAAATAGGAAAACAGCTGCCTGACGGACTGGAGAGATCCATGTTTCTACAAAGAAAGGTGACCCAACAGAACATGCTAATTTTACAAAAGACTTTCTATCACGTGCAAGTAAGAGGTTTGAATTTCTTGACCAGGATCTTTCACAGGGCTGAATTTGATGAGATCTAACTAAGCAATATTTTCTGTTGTGGCATGTTTTGGGGTTGTGTAGAAGTCTTTGCCCAGTGCTAGGTCTCCATTACTTCCTCCCATGTACTCCCCTAGTCATATCACTTAAGTCTATACATTTAAGACCGCCCATCACTTGTCTTTCAGTCTGTCCTACTGTGGAGCTTTGTGCTGCTCTGATACAGAGGGTCTGTCATCGGTATTCCAAAATCCAGCAGAGTCACCCAGAGTGAACAGTTTTCGGTGGCGTTCCATGTTAAATGGAGAAAAGATTGACGTTGTCGAGGATTTCATCCTCTGTCGATCCACAGTCACCATCCACAATCAATGCTCCTAGAAGCACCAGTCAAGAGATCAGAAGACATGTCACACGGGGTAAATCACAACACCTCTTTAGAGTATGGAAAAGCAGGATGTTACTTTGAGAACGAAGGTGTGCCTGACGCAAGGTGTTTTCAACTTCCTCATCGGAATGTGAAAGTTGGACATTGAACAAGGAAGACAGAAGAAGAATTGATGCATTTGAACTGGGGTGCTGATGAAGAAGATTGATTAAAAAAAACCATGGACTACTGAAAGATCAAAAATAAAAATTTTGTCTTGGAAGAAATACAACCAGAATGTTCCTTAGAGGCAAAGATTGGGAGACTTTGTTTGATATACTTTGGACATGTTGTCAGAAGAGACCAGTTCTTGCAGCAGAACGTCATGCTTGGTACAGTAGAGGAACGGGGACCAAGAGGAAGACCCCCAAGCAGACGGAAGACCCCCAAGCAGACGGATTGGCACAGTGGCTGCAACAATGGGCTCAAACAGAGGAACGATTAAGAGGATGGTGCAGGAAGGAGCATGCTTCCTTCTGTTGTGCCTGGGTCCCTATGGGTCTGAACTGACTCAATGGTACCTAATGACAACATTTGGGTCTGTGATTCGTTTTGAGTTAATTTTTATATGAAGTGTGAGAATTGGGTAGATGATCCCTGCCCCACTCCCCTCTCTCCTCTGTCCTGCTGCCAAAATAGTAATGTCAAGGAGCCCTGGTAGCATAGTGGTTATGCACTGAGCTGTTAACTGCAAGGTCCGCAATTCAAAACCACCAGCAGTTCTGTGGGAGAAAAAGATTCCTACACTATCAAGTTAACTTTCTCAGGAACCCACAGAGGCAGTTACACCCTCACCTAAAGGTTCCCTATGAGGGAACGTTGATGGCAGGAAGTTTAGATTTATTTTTTTTTTTGAGTGAGTGCTCAATGGCTCCAGCACTATTATCTTACTCTTGTACTTGATTAAAAAAATTAACATGTTGCTGAGGGTCTACTTATGATCTTTCTGTTCTATTCCATTGATCTATGTCTCTCTTCTAGTGACACACTATCTTACTGAAGCTATAGCATAATCCTTAACATTCCTGTTTATTCTTTATTGGGATTTCCATAAACCTGTAGATCAGTTTGGGGACAATTGACATCTTTACAATATTGAATTTTTCAAGCCATAAACTTAATATATATCTTCAATTACTTATGATTTCTTTCATCACTTATGATTCCTTGATTTCTTTTATCAGCATATTTTAATTTTCAGGGTACAAAACCTGTGCATTTTTATACCATTTATTTATGTAATTCATTTACTTTGGAGTGATTATAATTATCATTTTATCTTTAAGTCTTGGTTTCCATATGTAATACTAATGTACAGAAAATCAATTAATTGTTGTGTGTTGTTATTGTAGATTACGTGTTTTCCATGTAGACAATTAGCTCTGTAAACAGAGACAGTTTTACTTCTTTCTTTTTGATCTATAGGCATTTAATTTACTTTTTCCTGTCTTATTGCACTGACTAGACCTTGCAGTCCTATTTTAAACTTGAGTGGCGACAGTGGACATTCTTGATCATAGGAGGAGAGCCGTCAGACTTCATCATTAAGTATGATGTTAAACAAAGGGTTTTGTGGATACACTATGAGTCTGAGGAAGAAAATAGATAGCGGGCCCTAATTTGATGAAGTTGTCAGAGAAGGCGTCTCTGAGGAAAGACTTTTAAAACTGAGCTCTGAATGACCAACCTTGCAAAGGCCAGTGGATGGACATGTCTGGCAGAGGGGAGAGCTGTAGCACAGACCACAAGCATAGTGACCATCAAGTACTAGATAAGAAGAGAAGTTCAAAATGACATCAAAGACACAAATAAAACCAGGTTACTAGAACTAGAAAAAAAGTTTGCATTGTTTCAAAAGTCAAGGAAGCCATTAGAAGATTTCTATTCTTATTGGTGAAGCCTAATTCTAAAGGGTATATTCTCTTACACCTTAAACATATAGTATGACTTAAATTAAGTGATTCTTTAATTGCAAGATAGAAAAATATCTAGCACTTTCATGTTAACAAATTTGCATCTAGGTTGCTCAATATATTATCAACCATTAGGAATGATTCGAATAGCTTTGAGGAACAACCACTGGTCACACTTTCCTTGACTTACCTTTATAGAGACACAGCCACGGGTAATACTTGTTGAGAATTTCATATTGCAGTAGTGGGCTTCCATTCCATTCCACAGGGACCACATGGCGACCATGTCTAGAAGTCAGGATTTCAGGGTTTTTTCAAAGTCATAATCATAACAACACTGTAAAAATGAAGTCAAAAGTAAACCATCTCCAAATATATCCTAGTTCTTCTGTAAAACTGATCCTACATGTCCCTCTGTTTTAAGTTATATTTCCATAGAGTAGTGTGGCACTTCACTTACTAGATGCAGTTCTCCGACATGGCAAGCAAAGCCCTTCTCTGGGTCAGTGCTTTTCTAATCATGAACCAGGAACCCCGGAGAGTCCAAAACCCATCAGAAAGAAGAGTTTGCTTTAGTTGGATGGCTATCTTGTATGTAGAATTTTATTCTGCCTTTAAAGTAAGATTTTCCTGACTATTTCAGTTCCTCCCAATAAGAAGCATCAATGTATGTATGTGTAACATTTTAAATCATACTGAAAATGTTTCTTTGATGAAAAAATCATATTTTTTTCTCCTAGAGATGAATGAACTCCAAGCAGAGCATGTTCTGAACAGCGGTAAGTCTAAGAATATTACTGAGATGCTTAGAAATCCAAGAAGAAAATTCAAAACACTTTTTTTAGACTTTATCCTCACATTTAATATTTTTCAAAAGTAAATGAGTGATTTAATTTTTCTCAAGGGAAATAAATTCTACTAATAATTGGCAGTATGTTTAAGGATTTGTTGGAAATGTTTAATACTTTGCCTCAAAGGGTTCCTGATGACTTCTTTCACAATTTCTTTTTCTTATTTCTGAACGTAGAAAATTGTTCTTAAAATTAACATATGCCCACCAACTTTAATATTTGAACTTGGACATAAATGCTGTCCCAGAAAAATATTGGGCGTGGGGGGGGAAGTTCACATGAAATTGCATTAAACGCATCATCAGGGAAGGTGCTTTATAAACATTTGTGTCTTAAAATAATGTTTGTCCCTTTTCAGTGTGAATAGTCATTGCTGTAGTTCACCAAAATTAACATTACAGGAAATTAACCTTCCTTGTGAGCAAGGTACACCAACAAAAGACTGTGTTCCTAATTTCATCCCAAACATATCCATACACCACTAGATGTCTCTAAAACTGGCCATTCTATCTCCCGACAGGCTGCGGTGTAGGGAGGGAGTCCCCATCCTCCTCCATGGAGAGGATTTACCCTGGGTATGAGGCAGACAAAGCCGCTTGGCCATGGCAGGCCAGCCTGCAAATAGGTGGGATTCATTTCTGTGGAGCAACTTTGATCAGCAAGGAGTGGCTCCTATCTGCCGCTCATTGCTTTGACACGTAAGTCCACTAAAAAGACTGCTAATTCCACTTCTTTCAGCTTCACATCCTGTAATTCTTACCTTCTTTTCATTTCCTTCATCAATTTCTGAGCTGGGTACTGTAGAGTCGATTCTGTGTATCAGAGTAGAACTATGCCCCACAGGGGTTTTAGTGGTTAGGAGTAGATCACTAGGCCTTTATTCTGAGGCACCTCTGTGTGGGCGTGTATTTAGCAACTAAGCACAGCTTTAGCAACCTAGCATGTTAACTGTTGCACCACTCAGGGACTCCCACGTATAGCTTCTGTGTGCCCTTTGGTAGATTGCAGGTCATACTGATCCATGTGACAGGGTAGAATTACCCAACTGTATGGAAGCAGATGGGCAGGTCTTTTCTCCTCCAGAGCAGCTAGGTCAGTTCAAAATATCAAATCTTTCAGTTAGTAGCCAAGGACCTTGACCATTGTGCTTCCAGGGATCTTCAAGAACGTCTGAAGCCTCCCCTATCATTTCTGTGATTACTCAGTAGGCTTAGGAGGAAGCAACAATTACAGAGTAATAGTGGAAAGAATTAGAGTATCTTCAGTTCTAACCAAAATTATATTCCCAAACCTTCTAAATTTTAGAGTAAAACAAGCCACCACTATCAAAATTTGAACATACTCACTACTTATCTTGAGATATATTGCAGATTTTTTTTAGCTCTGTAAATAATATTCCTACTTACAAAAAATGTATCTGGCTATCTAATATGAATGTTTTGGGCACTGTAATTTTTGGAGGTAGCATGTACTTTTCAAAGATTTAACATATAAGCCATTCAGAAATAATAAAATGATACAATAATATTGATATTTCTTTAAAATGGAAAACTTTTCTAGATAAAATTCTAAGTAAAAATGAAAGAGAAAGTGACTTATGAACTATGGCTCCAGTGTATCTATCTGTCCTCCACTTTCTCTATCTATCTACTGTCTGTCTACATAGCAATATGTACATTTAAAGAAGTGTATGGGTATGAGTGCGTATGAGTGGTGGCATAAATATATGAGTATACATAGCAAATTTATTTATGAATATTTCTTTAACTGATCTACATTACTTTTATAAAACAGTTACAAATTGTTTCTTTTTAAAATTGCCAACTTGCCTGCCAGAGAGAGGAATTTAAGCTCTTTTAGCCAAAAGTTTTGTTATCAGCTTGAAGAAAGCAAAACTGTCTTAAGGGAAGTTTCAAATATGGTGGGAGGGTCCCAACTAATCATGACTTCAAAATTTGCCCTTCTCCCACCTTTATGCCCTGTGCTCATGTAGAATTCCAGGCAACTTTAGATCAGAAACAAACCAACTATAATCCTTTTAATCTATGATCAGTTACAAAAACCCCAAACTGTGGATGGTTAGTTTTGGAACAACCCTAAGTCCTTCCCTGATGAGAAGAAATGTACAGTCGATTATCATTCATGAAAACTATGCTGCCCATAAGCATGAAGACGACATCGCGGTGGTGAGGCTTGCATCTCCGGTCATATTTTCTGATGATGTGCACAGAGTCTGTCTCCCAGATGCTGACTTTCCCATCTTGCCTAAGACTACAGCCTTTGTGACTGGATGGGGAGCCTTGACGAAAGATGGTGAGTATCTCAGCAAAAACTGTCCGATAGAACAAAACAAATGTACCCTTCGTTTGAAAAGAGATGGGCAATAAGATATAAATCAAAATAGCAGATTCAATCAACATATTCCCTGACAAATATGACCAAAACAAGAGAGTCAAATGTAATGAATTATGAAAATTAAGCAGAAATAGTCACAAGGAAACAATACGAAGGGGCTATTTCTTACCTGATATTCAATACTATTCATACTATTATATAATTAATATTCTGATTATGCATATTGTTGACAATTAAAGAGTGTCTGTGGTATAGTTTAGCCTGGGGATTTATGAGTGACAAGTTTGACATTTTACCAATTGTAACTAATATACAAGGAGCGCTGGACACACAATGATTAAGTTCTCATCTGCTAAACGAATCGTTGGCCATTTAAACCCCCTGCAGTAACACAGGAGAAAGACTAGAAAACCCTTTGGGGCACTTCTACTGTGTCACAAGAGTTGCTGTCATTCAGAATCAATTCGAGGACACCCAAAAACCACAATAAATTGTATATACAGATCTTTTGGTCATGATATAAATGTCCAGTTTTACCCTAAGTGTGTATTTTAGTTGAAGATTTTACATAAGGTTTAAAATGTTCCCAACACTTTGCTTCTTGACTTGGCACCCTGATTGTGAAGTAGCAGTTGATCATTGGTGCTTCTTCATAGTATGTATAGCTTTTATCGATTAAGTCAATATCAAGTAGTTTCATTTTTTAATCATTTTATTGGGAGCACATACAAATCTTAGCACAATCCATTCGTCAACTGAATCAGGCATGTTTGTACATATGTTGCCTTTATTATTTTCTAGACATTTACTTTCTATTGAGCCCTTGGTATCAGCTCTTTTCATTCCCCATTCTCCCCTCCACCCTCATAACCCACCGATAGATTGTACATTGTTATTATTTTCATCTTTCACACTGACCGCTGTCTCCCTTCCCCCATGTTTTCTGTTGTTCTTCCCCCTAGAGAGGAGTGTATGGTTATGTGTACATCCTTGCGATCGGTTCTCCCTTTCTGCCTTCCTCTCGCCCTCTTCCCTCTACCCTTCAGGTATCGTTATTCCCACTCCTGTTCCTGGATTCTGTGTGTCGTGACCTCCCACCCCTTTCTATCCCTGTGTCTATGTTCCAGTCTAGTCTGCATTGAGAAGCAGCACTGGAGTCATGATAGTGGGGGGGGGAGGAAGCCTCAAGGAGCCAGAGGACTGTAGTGTGTTTCATCGATGCTTTACTGCACCTTGCTGACTCATCCCTTCCCTGTGGCCCCTCTGTGGGGAGATTG